TTTTTATTTTTCGCAATAGTCAAAGAATGTTTCCACTTAATCGAATTGTGCATCTGCTAGTAGATGGAATATTAAACTAATTATTTATTTTTTGCAAATTCATATCAATGATATCATTCATGGATAAAATTTAGATTTAGAGGTTGAATGGGAAACGTTGAAAGCAAGCTTCATGTTATTTGTAAAGAATAAAATTAGTAGAAGAAAAGCCATTGAGGTTGAGTCTAGTGATCAGATTGATTGGCTTTATGCTTTCATTTATTTAATCATCATATGACGACAAATCGAACGAAGCAACGTATTTTTTTTTAATCAAATAGAAACATTCGAAAAAGAAATCAATTTCGCTTCTATTTTGCGACTTTAATCAAAGTTTGAAGAATCTATCGATGTTTTATTGTTTATTTTTTTTATTGAAAACCACGTGGACATCATACAAAATAAAGCAGTTATTATCGATAAACAATAAACATGTTGATATCGATTCACTCTCAATACACTTGTGTAGATAGCTAGAGAACGAAAAAAACAGAAAAGAGAAAAGAAAGAAAAATCAATAGCAAATAAAAGTGAATTCAAAAAAACTTCACATTAAAAGATGAGAAAATAATTAAAAAAAAAGAAAAAAAAGAATAATCTAATCTAACAGAATCAGATACACACACACGTGCAAGATCAATAAAATAAATTTAGTATTAATTTTCTTTGATATAATCTGTCTTGGTGTTGATGATGATATCTTGCTTGTACTGAATAGTCGCAGTCATTGATCGATTTGGATATGTGCTTTTTCTTTTATTTTTCTTTCTTCCTCTTATTCTTGATGATGTTGATATTCACCATCATCGATGAAATTTCTGCTCATGCAACTTTATTATAACGGATAATAGAGCTTTTGATTTCATAACTTTAGTTTATTCCTCTGCTCAACGGTTTTTTTTTCTTTCAAATAATCAATAGATTATTACCAATCAATTGCATAATTTATCAACAGAGACTACTGTTCAAGGTCATCAATGAACGAGAATTATCCGGTGAGTGACCATTGTCATTGAGAATGTGAATTTCTTTTACATATTTTTTGCGTTCATCCTTTTTTTAATATGTATTCTTTACTCTTTTTTGTTTAATTTTTTATATATTTATTCATCATTCAATAATAATAAAATTTATCTATCAAAAATATCATTTATTTTATGTATTTAAATTAATTCCGAGACTGGCTTGTTGAGCAACAACACTGTAACAAATAATTGAAGGAGAAAAAAATCCGTGTGTATGTGTTCATTTTCATATGTGTTTTTCATATGAGGAGGCAGCGGTCATCGGATCTCACTAGGCTATGGAAAGATATTATCGATATAAAATGAATTTGTAGCTCTTCACAGCAATGATCTATTCCTTTTACATCTGTTGATTGTGAAAGATAGAAATATTGAAGAAAAATACCTCTTCTACTGCAGAAATCAGTGAAGCGTGCGCAGCATGTATTTGTCGTCGCAATACTATGTAAATTATACTCCGTTGACAAAGCCGACGCTCGAAAAAAAAATGTTGACCACTCGTCCATGACCGATAGAGAGTAGTTGTGAGAAGAGAGGAGAACTACTATGATGATTCAGACCAAGTAAAATAAAAATCGTATTAATGCGAACAATGGCATGATTTGCATAGCAAGTATGTGATAAAAAAAGAATAAGTGACTCACACATATGCAATTTTTGTCCAAAATTAATAAGAAAGACAAATATGAAATAAAGACTTGATTCTATCTTCGTTTACCTACTCATACATATTACGAGGATCTCCGAAATTCTGAAATCATTTTAAAACTCATCATTTTTACACAGAACAAGCTACATCATGATGAAAATGTATTACAATAAATCACTCAATGAAATGAACAAAAAAAATTGAATTAAATATGAAAGTATGTAAAATAAAATAAATGTATGGGGCTTGTCCGGCTAATGCTCAACCAGAGTGATTAAAGTAGAAGCTGAATATTTTTAGAAGCTAATAACATCGTATTATAGGGCACACTTTACTGTGTTAGGAATCATATTTTGTTTTATCTTTTCTTCCAACAGATGAAGAAAATATATACAACAGAGACTTGATATGTTTTTCAAACATTTTTTATCTTTTTCGTACATATAAAGAAAATGATTGAAAATAGTTAAAAATGCAACTGAAATTAGAGCAGTGGTATATATTCTGAATGTGCAAAGTTAGAGCTTTCTTCTTATACAAAATTTGATCAGATCCATGATTGTAGGAAGAAAATGGAGGTTACTTTAAATCTTGATAAATTTTGGCGTGAGTGCGTTATCAAAAAGGTCTCTTAGTTTATTTTACGCTACAATCGCAGAGAATTTCCTCGTATTCGCTCAGGATCCTTCGTTAGCTTTCTACGAGGTATCCAACAGTCGACTTATTTTTCAGATATTCCTTTCTGTTTACAAAAAAATTGGTAACGCACTCACACAACCCACATTTTTGCATAAAATATTTTTTTGACCGTATACCTACTTACAGTACTCCAAACAGGCCTAGTTTTTCTAGGCCTGGACTGTCTATAAAAGCCTGTATGTTGTTTTTACATACTAATTCCGTATAATGATGGAACAAAACCTTAAGCATTCTTTGTAGAAAAGCAGTAAGATCATATAATTAAAATCTGATGACTAGATTTACCATTTATTGATTCAATATATACTATTTTTACATAGAAAATAAGCATACAAAAAAAACCTAATACATAGAAAAATAATCCGGTTTTGATTCAAGAACGGTTTGTACCGATCTGACGAACAAAACATCATTAACAGTTTCAGGATCAAGAATGAACGACGTTGATTAAGTGCCAGACCTGCAGACGAGAATTGATGTTCTACTCCTGCTGATGTAACAGGAATAGAGAAGAGACGACGAGCCAGTAAAGCTAAACCACGAAATTTATTTTGATGATCACGCCAAAATGGTAATGGATTTGGTTCTTTGTAAATATCTTCGATATTTATACGTAAATATTTGTCGAGTTCATTGTTTTTTAACGTAGTTGTTGCTGATAAATTGATGTCATTATTATTATCATCCTCGTCAGGATCAGCAAATTGATCCTCTATAGACTTGTGTTTTTTTTTGATTGGCTCAAAATTAGTTGTATATTACGGTTGATTTAAATCAAGAATATCATTTATTTGTTCACGAATATAATGGTGAGCAATACTTTTACAGTATGATGTAGCAAATGTTAATCTGCGATAAAGAGGATGGAGAACCGCTGGAGCAAGATGTTTATCATCAAACGTGAACATACATTTTAATAACTGCATAAGACGTTTTCGAAAACAATCAATTCCTGAAATTAAAAGGATTCCAAAGACTAATACGTCACTGTCTCGTTGTTCAATATTTACCTTCATGACGATCATATATATCAATACATTCACCATTTTCATTAATATCAGTACCGCTTAGGTGGCGTTCGAGTTTATTAATGCAAACATATGCCATATGTAACGAGGGTTGGGTACCAGTTTGAACCGATAAAGATACATTTTTAAACTCTTTTTAATAAAATTATTAAATCTTTTAATACATCAACATTTATATTATTTAATTTAAAAGAAAGTTGATTATTTGATGATTTGGATAACAATATTGTTCGTATAAGTTCTATTGAAGCATCAATAGATTCTAACATGTTTGATAAAGAAATCCATCTTATAACGGATTCTTGCTTCAAAGCAACACCACCACGATCTTCAATATCTTTATTTAATCCAACCTTTATAAATGATAAATTCGTTTATAAAAAATAAGTTGTTTTATTCTATTAATTATTTCACTCACTAGTTTTACGTATTTCACTAGTTTTTTATTTGTTGTAATCGTGTTCAAAACTTCTTTTGGTTTTGATGCTAATTCCGATAATAATGTATTTGCTTCAACGTATTTTGACGAGGATGGTGTTGCCGTCATCTTCAGATGCACTGGTATCTGACGAGCTATCACAAACATTTTGGAATTTTTGTAATGATTTTTTTTGCAGGTGTTGTAGATGCTGGAAGCATTTTTGTCTTTTTACGTTGTGATGTTTGATAGAAAGCTAATTTCAGTATGTTGTTAATTCTATGTGCAAAACAATAAACCACCGGGTACCCTGAACAACGCAAGTTTAATTATTGTATAGTGAAAGCAATTTAAACAACTCACTTTTTAAAGCTTTCAACATATTTGAACCTCGATCACTTGTAAAAGTTAATTTATAATTATCCATATATATTAATAAACCAAATAAATCTAATTGTTTTCGTATAGCCTAAAAAATAGATTTCTCGAAAATATTTGTGTTTTTAATAATCTACTTACTTGTAATACAGATTCGCCGGTTTTATCAACTTCATTATATGGTGAGCAGCATAAATCAAATGTATATAATTCATAATCACCTGTTACAAAGCAAGCTGTTAAGCCTAAATAGTTCATTTTTTTGTATTTATCTGTCCAAAGATCTGGACAAATAGTCAATGCACCTATTTCAGCTTGTTAAATCAAAATAGGTCGTATTAAAGATCTGTATTGTTCAGCTAATCGAGCGACATTATTTGAAAGTGTTTGTGGCGTAATAAGAATATCTTCAATGTTAATTGGACCTTGATATTTTTTACCTAAAAGTGTGAAAATAATGAGTTTTATCTGCAAATACTACGTAACTCACATATATCAATAACTGCTTATAGAGTAGTTTTTAATCCTTTATCTGAAACAAGGTTGAATGGACGAATAGATGAATACACCCATTTTGTTAATTGATCTCGGATTTTTGTATAATCTTGAGCTGTCAATTTAAATGTTGTAGAATTTTTCGATTTAATAAATTTGTTCATTGGGCCTTCGCGATTATCTTCTGATAATAATGATCTTTTTGAACAGACGTGTTTCAAAAGATGCTTGGTACTACCACTATCACCAGATTGATATGAATAGGTATCTTTACACTCGAAACAACTTGTAAAACCAACTATTCGATGATAAGAACCATCTTCTAAACGCTTAGCTGGAAATCCAAATGTCGACCAAGCAGGTGATGAAAGATTGTTTTGATCATTTTTTATGACAATGAATTGTTTCGAATCATCTTTTTGTTTTAATAAATTTTCAATTAATGATGTTGAATAATGTTGAGTGGAATTTGAGTTTGATAAAGAAATTGTGGTATTTAAAGTGAATTTATCAGTAGAAGACATTATATGACAAAAACAAATATGAATCAGTAATTTAATACGAGAAACGATTAATGTAAATTACTCCTAAATTAAATAAATCACACCCAGGTCAATCACGCCCGGCCGTAAACGGCCGTATACCAATGAATAACGATGAAAAACGACAGGTGTTGACAGCCGCCGTTTACGGTAGTCGTATACGATGTTTTACGGTATCTTACGCTCATCGTGAACAGTGACCGTAAACACTCGCCGTTTACGACTACCGTAATAACACGACGACCGTAAACGATACCCGCATAATATCGTAAGACATCGTAAACACCAGCTGCAGACGCTGTGATCTACGCTCATCGTTTTTTATCGTATGTGTCCGTAAACAGTCGTTAACGATGACGAACTGCTCTCATTAAATATAGTGGCAAAATCAGAAATTCGCTACTAGGGAAACTGAAATTCATAGCATTTTTTTCAAATCTGTCAAAAATAGCACAAATTTTCATAACAGTTTCTAAGATCGACATCATCTCTTGCCTTGCACAATTGTCTTCACTTACACATTTTTGAGATTTATTTTAGATAAGTCAACAATTCATAAGTTGGTAATTTCAAATTTTTGTTTGAAATTTTCCGTCCACATGAAGATTATTCCGTGACTTTGTATCAAGTGTGAGAAATGGCGGCTGTAGTAATAGAATGCTGAATTTCGTTCTGCTCAGCCATCCAACCGAGATGGGTTTCTGTATAATGCGAGCTAAAATGTTCTATAAGCGCTATCTCTTGAATAAAATAGTAAAATAGATTGTCAAGGTGGATTTTGGCTTGTTCAACTCACATCGGCAAGACATGATTTTGCTGAAGATCTTGTTCGAGAAATTACCGTACTTGAAGATGAATTTATGGGATGAACTACACGCACATGAACTGAACTATAATCAGACAGGAATAAGAGATCCAAATTGTTTCACTTGGTACCTCTCTGAAAAAAATTTGACAAAAACTCAAATTAAAATCGGTTATTTGATTGAAAATCGAATTTTAATCGACTACAATAGTACTATTTTTAATTGGTTTTAATATGATTTCTCAGTCTTAACGAAAGTTTTTATTTGATTTTAACTATTTTTAATCTAATTTAATCAATTGTTAAAATAAAGTCGATGAAAATTCGATATTTAATCTAATAATCGATTCTAATCTGATTTGAAATTGTTTACTTTAAACTTTTTTAAAACCACTAACATGTTCCAAATCGTCTTGCGCATATACGCAGTTCAGCGTACTAGAAACTGTTCAGGTAATAGTATACATCAATGTTAGGAATACCAATCTTCAAACATATAAATTTTTCATGCATATAGACATAAAAGTCTTCCGATACACAAAGATCATTTAAGTCTCAAATTCATCTTCGAGTCCTCCGGCTACAAATTTGACGGGCCTCACCCTATATAAATGGATGCCAAATCCAACACAGTTCATTCTAATATTGACTCAGGTGGTAGTAACATGAATTTAAAACCGATTAAAAGCCATCGAAATCTACAGAACAGATCAACAAATATCATCAAATATCAACCTCCTTAATTACAATGTGAGTAATAATAGAAACTGCGACAGGTGCTGTACACACCTCTACAGGTAAGTTACAGGTAAAGATTTAAATCTCCTGAAATCAGAAAATAATAAAAAGATTTTTCAAATCGAACAAATGTTGAGGATTATTCATCTTTCGCACAAAGCTATCAGCAGTAGAAGGTACTCAGGTACTACTAGTATGAACCCAAGGGGGAAAAGCGGATCCTTGGGCCCTTTGAGATTCTAGGATCCAAAAGGATCTCAAAATCATCTTCGAGTCTTCCGGCTGCAAATTTGATGAGCCTCACCCTATATAAATGGATGCCAAACCCACCACCGTTCATTCTAACATTGACTCAGGTGGTAGTAACATGGATTTAAAACCGATTAAAAGCCATTAAAATTCGAACAACAGACCAACACCGACCACAAAATATTGACCTCCATAATTACAGTGTGAGTAACTGCAAAAAGACTACCGGTGCTCTGCACACCTGTTCAGGTACGCTACAGGTAAAAATTTAAATCTCTTGAAATCACAAAATAATTCGAAAAAAATCGGAACTATTTTGCAGGCATTCTTGCATTGGCCTTAATAACGCTTTCCGGCATTTTGCAACTAATGTTTTATATTCTACAGATTTCGATTAACTGCTTTCTATTTCCGAGATCCTAACACCATACTACAATTCATTCATCATTTTAGTCGTCATATTGTACTCCATAATCATCAAAACAATTAGTCTTCACGAGGACCACACTTCATTTTTACTTCTCACCGCAACAATAAAAAAAATCATTCCAACATGCCTCATACAGAGATTTTCCATCATTGTACTTTTCAGTCATGTCAAAAAACTCTTTAAAACAACAGCATTTGAAAAAAAGATATTTAAAGATCCTTAAAGATCTCAATTCAATGTAATCAAGATTTGAATCTCAAAAAACCGCTAAAAATGAATTATTCATTTTCTAAATTTGTTAGAATATGATTTTCTATCGTTTCACATTTGCGCTGCTTCAAAATACCCCAAGATAAGGGTACTTTAAAAAGGTCTTTAAGGATCCTTAAAGATCTCAATTCAATATAATTGAGATTTGAATCTCAAAAACCGCTGAAAATGAATGAATCATTTTCCAAAACTTCATAGAATATGCTTTTCTATCATTTTGCATTCGCACCACTTGAAAATACCCCCAAAACAAAGGTATTTGAAAAAGTGGTTAAAGATCTTTATGAATTTTCAATGATCTCAATATGAGATGCTGGAAAATTGAGATCCTTAAGGATCCTCGAAGATCTCGATTTAAGTGGATGGAGTAGTGAGATCTTGGAGCATCCTTAAGGATCTCAATTCCCACACCATA